TTCTAAGGCATCCATAACCTCGACTTGGGGAAGAATAATGAAGAACAGGCCTTTTGGCTGAGGTACATCCCAAGTAAAAAGAAGTACCAGGTCCCCCCTGAGGTACTCTCAGTTATCGGAGGGGAATCTTCCGGGGGGGCTACAAATAAGAAACCAGCTAATGGATGGTCTCATTCGGACTTGGAAACATTGATGACTCGTGTCGCGGATACTTCGACGAGGGAGCCTACGAGAGACGTTAACCCAGGTGGCAATAAGCTGGGTATAGGCCCAATTGTGGGCATTGCGGTCGGTTCTGCTGTTATTGTAGCGCTGGTCGCTATGGGGACATGGATATTTATTCGCCGACAAAGAAGGAACCGAGAAGTTGCTACCATTTTATCCTCGCCCCAGGGACATATGTCTGTTGCAGATCAGAGCCAAGGCACCGCATACCAATCCTCGTTGGGGCCCTGGAGTCCAGGAACAACATATTATTCACCTCAACTGGACCAACAATCCCGCAACCGTTCGGTTTACCTTACAACAGTCCCGCTGTCTAACTTTGGGGTACCTGGTGAAGGCAAAGCAGATGAGTTTGGGAACCCCACCACGATTCCAGAGCTTCCCGGCCAAGACGATCATCACGAGTTATCGGCAGATCCTCGAGCCGACAACGAAGGAGGACAGACTGAAATCCCTCACACACGAGGAGAGGAGCACCCATAGTTGAATATCATTAAATGCCAACCGAGTGATTGGAGTCTATGATAAGCCTTTGGGACACAAACCTCAAGTAACTTGCTAAGGTGAAGGCTATGGGTTGGGACCTTGATTCTTGGAGCAGTAGGGCGCGAGGATATAGTATTTTCTGATTATGAACTCAAGTCTAAGGATTGACGCCAACAACGGAGCTCAAGTTTCGAGGAGAAACCACTATTTAATATATTCAAATTCAACTGCTCCGTATACCATGATAAGCAGCTTCAATATCGATACTCATCTAGGACTGGAAGATAGCGAAGAAGAAGGTAGCTAGAGTTGAGCGCATGGGGACTAGGAAAAAGGTTGGAATTTTCACTGACCCTGGGCAAGCCAAACAGTGTACCGACGAATGCTATGACATAGCTGTAGCTGTGACGCATTATACAACTTTGCTTTATCGTATTTAATATGACCTCAGAGAGCACTGAGAGGGCGATTAAAGTCGATTTTAGATCGGGAGAGATTAAAAGGGACTTGAGGATGGCCCGTTTTTGAATTCGAGAACAACAACAGTGTAAGTATCTTAATTTTAATAGCAACAAAGATTTATAATGCCCGCGCATCTACAATAGCGATGCTTTAGGAACCACACGCGTATTTGAGAGCACAGAGTTTGACTAAAAGTCTTTAAATTGAAAGGGAACTAAATAACTTATCATGTACTAGCTGTGCTTCATACAGAGAAGAAAACAGCCTGTGCCAAATTTCGAAGACTCTTTCTTCAATCATGAGCATCTGGACAAATCCATTCCTAGCCGGGTATGTATTGGTCCTAAGAAACCCCGATGCATTATTTTATACACATCTGCTGCCTCGGGTGGATGCTAGCACCGTCTATGTTTTTATGGCCCTTTCCTGATGGGAAGATTACCTAACTCAAGAAAATCCTTTTCGTGTTTTGGTTGAAATCGGTTATGGTGATATCAAATAAGTTCGTCATTTCTCGTCACTGTATCAGGCCTGATGTTATCCCAACCCTTCGTTGGCAAATATATATTTCAGCCACAGTTATTGAAATGGTAGTTTGTATAGTTCGGGTCTGAGGCATGCAAGTCTAAGTACAAGTTGTCACTATCAATACATTTTCCCATAAATATTGCGACCTACAGCCAAAGGAATCGTGCTCTTCATTGTCCTCCACACTCAAAATTTCTTCGTAGTATTCTACCGGGGCGTTCGTATAATTCACTTCTGTCGTCTGTCTAAGTCCAGCGTTGTCAAATTGATTTGTTGGCGCTAAATTGCTGAAGCTTTGAGTTGAGGGATCGTAATAGTCTGGACTCGATACAGGCACAGAGAAATCTGGAAATACGGTGGGACAGACCTGGGATGGATGCTGAGGGAGGCTGGATAAGTCCCATTGACCATCATATTCTGGAAAGTCGGCTCCACTGAAATCATCTCCCATGTCAAAATGACTTGTAGATAGTTCTGAAAAGGGGGAATTGTTGTTATTAGGAGGGCTATCACTGGGCCTCTCTCTGCTCTTTCTTGTTACCGAGCGCCCGGAGGAAAATCCATCCACAAATGTGTAGCCTTGGCCAAGGCCGCTGCAGCTTAAGCCTTTCGAGACACACTTTTGACAGTTCGGCTCTGTCCTGTCACAGTTTATTCGACGCTTTGAACACTCGTAACAACCTGTATGAATATATCAGAATATAAAACAGGTGGGAACAGTTTTTGAATAGTGTATTACCTTTTACTTTAGGGACATATTGGCGTTTTCTCCGCCCCATTGTTGAGGCTGAACCTGGCGATGAAGATTCCTCGACCCCGGAATTTAAATGTGGATGCTTTTCTCTCGAACTGCTACCGGGAACACCGGCCATGACGGATTTGCAATACGTAAAATATAGAACTGATGGCCTGGCAAATTATGCAACGGGTGTTTTGTGTCCCTTTATTTTGGACCACGGCTCCACGGATCACGGCCCTACGGAGAATGAGCCGGCCCAAGTGCCACCTCAAATTCAGGTTCAATAGATAGAAAGCATGGAAGGTGATAAGATTTTATTGAAGGACATCTGAGAGATTTTCTGCGCCATATGAGACTTCTATGTCCTTATCAGAGACAGCTAAACTCGGATACGACGCATCCGTCAATCCTCTCCGTGGTTGACATTATACATATTCTCGGATGGAGCCCCCGAGCGAAAGAGAGTGGCATGGCATTCAAATTGAGTTAGTGCATGATGGGCATAGATAACCATTGGGTCTACGTAATATCCACTTGCCGACCCCTGTAGTCGGGAATTCGGGATGCCCTCTAGATCATGGAGATGCCGAGAATCGATCTAGGATCACCGATCGATAAGACGTCCCAGCCTTGAGACTAATTCCCGAAAACCGCCCGTTCCTATCCTCCGCGAGGGGCTTTACCAGCACGGGGCAAAGATGGTTTGCACGTTGTGTACCTATGTTGAGAAGAACTGTTATCAATTTTGATTCTCGCTGAGCACCATGCAGCACTATGTTTATTTGTATCAACTTCAGATATCTTAGAAAGTCAGGTAGATCTTCTGAAAATGCGGGAAGATCAAGGGTGATCTCGAAGCCGTTGATATTGAAGGTGGCAATCCCTGTCACGGACTCATCGATGTGACCGCAGGATAGTCTTCTAAAGCAGCAGGTGTGGGGAGAGAGAGAGGATATACTGATAAGAGAGCTCGAGGAGTTGTTTTATTCCAATGATACAGTCTCTGCTTTCTTAAGATACCAAATATTGTCATGGACCTTGTGCGGGGAAGGTAAACTGAAAGGCTAGTCTAGCCTCGAGGACGGTATTTTACTCCGTACTCCGGCCGGCCAGTGGGTCATCGATCAACACCCTATCCATTGTTCTTTGCTCACAATGGCCAGAATGTATGTCTGGGCAGCCTTGGTCCTATGTTTTCCATTATCATCTCTGTATCATGGCAATCTTCCGCAATATCAAAGTACACGGATCGCTAAGGATGCTTGCTGAATGAACACTCGGGATTACCAGTCTGGTATTGATTTCTGGGTCTCGGCTTTTGCGACTGGATGAAATCGGCTTTATCCCGAACTCTGTGGGCCCCAAAAGAAAGTCTTGGGCTAAAATTGAGCCAAACCATGGAAGGGTGTGATAACATAAAGGTACAGTATTCAGATACGGACACGAGGTGAAAAGTGTGGAGTTTCGCTTCTTGACTGCTCCCAAGGAGTGATCAAATGGTCATCCCTCTACTCGGGCTAAGACTGGATTGATTATTTATGACATTGAAACAGACGTCATTCTCCTTGTGAGAACGCATTGGTGTTACCTCGATTTGACAACGACCTCCAACCTAATTTACTGGAGCGTATATTTGCAGAAAAAAAAATCTGTTTTAGGGTTATAGAACGTCACAACGATACATAAAGTGGCAATCTAAATGTGTTTTCGTTGGAGAGAAGTTCCGGCTGTTCTAAAAACTTCAAAAAGTCACTGATCTCAATTAAGATAGTATTTGCGTAGCGCGGCAGGTGATGAAGTAGGATGCGTTCATCACATCGTATCGTTTGTGATTTTACACCCACAGACGTGACTATGGCGGTTCCAGAACGTCGCTGCTGGAGTAGATGTTTCCACAGGTCTGTGAGTTCGCCATCGCGATAGACACACCTATTACTGGTTTGTATGCTGGTCTAAGGCATAACCGGTTAGTAAGTATTATTTGGGTTCCTCCAAATAAGTATATGCATAACAAGCCTGAACCCTTGCAAGCCTCTTTGTCTCTCCTGCGTGATGATCGGAAACCGCGAGATTGGCACTTTGAGCTGCCCTCCCCCCTTTTTTTTTTCATAAACTCCGTACATTCATGGGTTTATGATGTTTCGTATCAATAAGAAACTTAGCTGAAGTTCAGGCACAAGTATGGGTACAGTGTTGTTCGTGACAGTTTACATGCACTAAAGGTGTAAGATCCAGAGTTTGGGCTCCCATGCGACTTGTCGATGAAGATGGTATTTAAGTGCCTGGTTTAAAGCTACTTGCAGTGCAAAATGGCATGGCAAGAAAACATACGATGAATCAAGAAGTAGCGAATGCTAGAAGACATGATCTGTCAGTAGTGTGGGAAATAAGAATAGTGCAAGAGAACTATAATATCACATATCGATCTGAGTTGTTTTTGGTGAAACAACATCTTGCACAAACGTTGCAGGATGGAGATCTGTGTTACTTATTTAAGTCTATTCTATCCGTAACTTTTGAATTGTTACATATCCTTCTATATATGCGCCGATCTACGAAATCAAACTGAATTTGAGTTGTCAGCACATGACCATGCCTTAGAACCACCAGATGCCTTGAAAGAGTCAATGATGCCCACGATAGACCCATACGTTCCAGCAATCATGAGGAATGAACCGATTACAACCATGAAGACACTCCAGCAAACCATAAGACGCCATGTGAGACTAGGATTCTGCTTGCCCTTAGCCCAATTGTCGTACAGCCACATGCAACCCATAGGCTGGAATGACATGAAAGTTCCAAGCAGTGCACCAGCCAAAGAGACGAGGCCTCCAAAGATGGGAATACCGCTAGCGAGAAGATACGCCACGAGAGCGGTAGAAAAGGTGGCGCCTAGCCAGGTGCTCCAGTGGACCAAGGTGTTGGATGTGATATGATGTGTTCCTCGCAGGATTCGAACGAACATGTACTTGCTAGCAAGCTGCACAAAGTTGGTCAGCAAAACACTTTCTTTCAATCGACTATCAGGAAAGAATCTCGGCTATACTCACATGAGAAAGAAGGATTGCTGACATCATCAGACCGGGAAGAGCAATGCCGTAAGCTACCTTCTTAATGAGAGGTCCTGCGGAGCCTAGGGCTGGGGAAGCGACATAAGATCCGCAATAGTAGTAGACAACAACTCCAACTGTGACATAGATAACAGTCACGACGGAATGGCACAAAAAGAGAGCCTTATTGTACTGGCCAGGGTCTCGCATCTCGGACACGATGGGGAAGAAAGCCCCTGTACCTGCATAAGAGAAGATGATTGTCGAGATAGCCGAGATAGCCTCGGTGAAGCTGGGATTTGCAAATAGAACATAATCCGACTTCCACGCCCCTTCTTGGGGTGCATCGGAGGGGCGGTCCTGGAGGCCAACACCGACGGTCACGGTGAGAACTGCATTTCGGTATTAGGCACCTTCTCCGTAAGTAAAGAAAGAGGTAGTGAAGATCGTACCTGCAACAATTATGCAGCTCACGCCAATCCATGCCAACCAACTAATACGGCCAAGTGTGCGGATACTAGACAGACAGAAAGACGCAATGGCGGCGACGGCAACGAAAACGGCTGTACATGTGGCATGCATTGAGAGGGCATTAAGTGCAATCGAGACTGAAATAACCGCGGAACCGGCCGTGAAGATTTGAACTGATCGGATCTTAGTTAGCCTCAACATCTTTCACTGCTTCTGAACGAGAGTCTCACATAGAACAAAAATTACGCCAAATATTTCTCGGCCAATTCGTCCAAAGATACGCTCTCCAACATCGTCGAGACCGTACACGTCTGGATGGTTAAGCTTGAAGACGCCGACCATATAATTCGACCAAAGCGTCATGCCGCTGATAGCAAGCATGAGAAGAACTCCCGGAATCATACCGAGGGTATCGAAAACCACAGGGAAAGACAGAACACCAAGACCAATCTGAGTCTTCATCATAAGGACCGAGGTACCTAACCATCCCACCTGGTAAGAGAGTTAGCATCATGAGGGCCCGTTGGAATTTAGGTTACCCTTCTGTGAGGTTGCTCTTACATTGCGGTAGTTAGGTCCCCCTTCCCTGATTTGGCCGAAAACCGCATCAACATTTTGGTTATCACCAACAACTTCCTCAACGTCCTCATTCCCCCGAGGAGATTCGTTACCCGAGAGTGAAGATTTCTTCATGTTGTAAATCGGCAGCGGTGCCTACTCGGGAGGCGTAGGTGCAATTAAGGCGTGTAGGTGAATAGGGGTCCAAAGGGGGATTGTTGAGGCCAGCGTGCCAGAGGGTGAGACGTGACCGACGAAGTCAGGGAGGAATCTGGGGAGGCGAGGCTTATTTAAATGCAATTCCTAGACAAGAAATCATCGAGGTCCACTGGTCCCAGAGGTTATATCCGGGATCAGCAAGGTTCATCAACGCTAAGGGACTACCAAACTCTCTCGGGGGGTGAAGATTTGGGGTAGAGTTGAAGACACGAGAGGTGGGTTTCGAGATGAGTCCACTCGCTCCACTCACGAGCACACGCAACTGACCAGGCTCCCGATACGAGACCATAAAATTACGTACAAAGCCTGGGGAAAAGCATCATGAAGAGGGCAGGCATGCCAACAACGCGTGATTGGCCCTTCTACTTCAGTCCTACCTGCGAAAATCAAAGGAATACCGGCAAAATTGGAAGAAAATGCCTCAAGAGCCAGGTAAGACGACCATAACGGGCAACGAATCGGCTCGTGTTATGATCAATGAACTGACACAGTGGAGAGGCTAATCATAACACATATTCTAGATGTTTATACTGAGTCCGAACGTGTGAGACGGTCCACTTAGTTTTAGGTCCCCGCACAGCGTTGGTACCCCAGAGTTAGTATGGAGTGACCTGGCGCGGAAACCTGCCACCTCTTCTTAAGGAAGGTTTTGGCGACGTATTGCTTGGTTCCGGGATTAATACCCAGAGTGGCCTATGAGCGACACTGATCCATCACGTTTTACTTGTGGCACGACCAATTCACATAAATGGCATAGGAGTTCCAGGGATAAAATAGACAGGCCTGTAGGCGCAAAGACCTGCCCGAGATATGCAAGATGCTCAATGAATCAATGTGATACACTCCGGCCATGACTCATTGTATCAAAGCTCAATTTTAAGACAAGGTGGAGGTTCAATAACTCCAAATCTTGCAGATGGAAGAGGCAAATTGGAAAAAAAAAAAAAAAAAAGGAGGCCTAGAAAAGCAGACTTGCGTGTTTCGTTAGGCAAGTTAGGAATCGTTCACCTTGATTCCGGAGGTTAGTTTTGGGTAAGAAAACTCATTACCTAGTCTGACCCTCTCTCGCGAAGGCATTCAGCCGAATCTACGCCAGTATGTGTAACCCGTCATGGGATAAATGATTCGGCCGATGGTATCGCCATTGCAAACGCTCTGCGGTAATACGCAATAAATAAAGATGGCTTTTATCCATCGTTCATTCTCGGTGGGATCTTCAATTTAAAAGGGGGGTTCTGCACAATTAGATAGAAACACACATGAGGTTACACCTCGTCCTCAAATTAGAAGTAATCCTTTCTGGTTGCGGGCGCCTATTTTGGCGCAGGAAGCCTGAAGATGCGGCGTTTATACATCGAAGCCTATGGAAACGCGGTGACTGTTCTATTTGCCATGATTTGGGGTGCGAAGTGCATACATTGGTTCGGAGAAACCGCAATGTGTCAACGCCACATCATCGCTTCATGCAGCTAGCCTTCGGCTCTGCCGGCCTACCCTAGTCTCGATACGTGGATCAGGGTGACTGTTGATTTGGGAATAGAGTACCGCTGACATTTCGTGACATGTAGTCCGAGAACCGAGACAATATCACGTCTTCACCTTTTATGATGTAGAAGATGGGGCATACGTGCTCTTTTGGCTAGCCCACCCTTTCTATGTACCGAATACATCAGTTGAACTGAAAAATAATAGGACTAGCGTTCCCAGAATGAAAATGATTCGGTAGTAGTTACGCAGCCAACCGTGTCCAGCGAGAACAGAGCCTAAACATCTCGATATGCGGCCAAAGTGACCGGGTTAATGATGCATTGCAGGAGCTTTCATTGGTTTTGTTCCAATCACAACTTGTAGTGCAAATAATATAGGGGTATGTTTACAGAAGTAGATATATTGTTTCAATTTCTTGCGCATCACCTCGACTCAACCAATGAAAACAGGCACATCTCAATTTTCTTTAATTAATTCGTATCTGATTAATCGAATCTCACCCAATTGATAATTGGGCAAGTCAGTGGTCTTGATAACAGGGAGAACTTGGGTACAGGATCCAAGTATCCAGGGCCCAGTAAAAGTGGAATGACAAGATAGAAGGCCTCATGGTGGATATGAAGCTCATACCTACCACGCACACTGTGTGTAAAATTCGGTCATCACTTTTGTAGTTGGGTGATTGTTTCTCCTTTGTCCCATCCATATCATGACAAAGCGGGCCCTGGCTCTCTGATCCTAGCAACCTCCGCATATGTTGACTGAAGAGTTGCAGATTCCACCCCATGAAAATTTTATCCCGCATGATTCATTTCTATTTATGACAAATCCGCACACTGAAAGCCCGGGGAATGGCCTGGAGAAGTATCTGTAGGAGCTGGGGAAGCCAGAAAATGGTACGTAATAAATGAAGAATACGGATCATGAAGAAAGGAGTCTCTCGACGAGGCTGACCAGGGGCAAATGCCGCCATTCATGCCGTGGTGTGGTTGACTAATATCAGTGACAGGTTTGTGGCGCTCGGGAACAAGGTTGAAACTCAACGTGCAAGTTTCCGCGAAGAGAGCTACTGGTCCCCGAGTCATCACCAAAGAAACCCGCTTCTTATCTGGTTATTTCAAGGTGCCGGAATCAAGCACGGACGCTGATTACTGTTCTTACGCTGGGAATCAAAGTAACCAGGAACATAAGGTAATTATCCCCGGTTGCTTTCATCACTGGAACGCGCGATCTGCCCCTTCTCAATGCTGGCAGTCTTTTCACTCTGTTTGAAAATTATGTAAAGCGATACTGCGAACAGCAGTGACATGGAATAGTTAGGATATGGCTAGGCCCTTGCGATTCATGCCATAAAAAAATGTTACTCACCGAGTTGGATGGGAAGCGGATGACATAAAACCTTGGTTCATCGAAACCGCACACAATGAGTTAATATGGCAAACGAAACGCTGTCAACCTATTATTTTGGGACCTTTTATTTATTACGCAAGAGATTTTGTCGATAGATGGGTGATTGGGCCATAAGATATAAGCCAGTAGTGTTTTGGCGCGGCAAGATTTCATTTTAGTCACTTAGATAGGCAGGCTATGACAGACAGCCCGATGGCCATTCTAGACTCATGGCATCCATGAAATTTAATCTCAATGCTTCTTTGTCTCTCGTGGATGTGAATCATCTTTCAGAATTTGGAAAACCCAGGCCACAGCCGAGCTAAATGAAGTTTTGCCGCTTGTGACTGTTTTCAGGACCCCAAACACACCTTCTTCAACTTACTAATGGAAATATGGCCATTCAGATAAGTCTTATTATACAAAATCTTTTTCCAAATATCGCCCGTTGGCGGCACTCCCAAATTTGATGAGTCTGCTAATTCTGCAGAGATCGGTTCCCCTGGCAAGGCCGACTACCTACAGTCAGAGGCTAACAAATAACATTGAATATCCCACCACTGATCCCGGGAAAGCAAGTCATATCATTGTGCTATACTTATCCAGGTCATCGGAAGGAAGAGTAAAGTGTTAGTTTGGGACCAAACCTCCATAGAGCCGTTCGATAGTCGGCTTGGCCTCCGGTACATCATGCGGAGACAGCTGGGGTATGCCCACACACAAGACGAGCGCCCACCGGAATGCCAAGAGACGCCCACCGGATGCAAAGTGGTGGGTGACAATGTTCCCCTCAGAAGATTCAAGACAGCTTGGCCCTGCTTGAATTAAACGAGGAAAACGATTATGCGGGCGGAGTCTAATTTTTTTCTCGCTAGCTAGTGGAAATCCCATAGTAATAAACAAGGCCTCCTACCTAAAAGGGATAGAATATACTCGGTGACTTGATGTCCGAGTCCTAACAAAGATGCTAGGTTCTTGGTCTTATATAACTTTCAACATTTCATGCAGCGTTATCTTTATCTTTTCTCGGCCGCGTTACATATGCAGACTAATTGAATATCACCTCCCAACTATATGAAATTTCGACGTTCAGTCTGCTATAGATGAACAAGATGAAACTCGTAGCCCTCTTGGCTTGCGTTACGTTCACACAACTGGCATCGGCAGCCGCCATCGCGCCTGATCCAACGTTGAATACCGGGGATATCAGTGGTACCGTTGAGAAACGTGCCTCTGGGACTGCTACAGTCAACCTAGCATCTCTTCAGGGGTCTCCTGGGCAGTTAGGTTCCGGTTTCATCTACGGCTTCCCAGATAATTCTGACGGGTCAGCCAGTGGGGCTATCCCAAGTAACCTCGTAAATGGTGTTGGGTTGAAGTACTGTCGTGCAGGAGGCTCCCAGGTCGCGAGTCCTGGTCTCGGATATGCAAGGGGCCAACTTCAGGTGGGCTTTCTCCTAAATCTATCTGGCCCACATCGACCACCAATCTAACATGAACCTACAGGGACGACTCAAATCTTTCCAATCCAACTACAACACATGTCGCAAAGCGGGTGCTCGCTATCAGGTTATCCTTGCCGCCCTCTGGGGATCTGACGGGGTTCAGGGAGATATTTCCTGGCCGGGAGATAACGGCAGCTGGACTGCATTCGATGACTTTTTGAGCCAGGTTATCAGCTTTATCAAGTCTAATAATATGCAAAGCGGACTTGATATTGATATTTGGAACGAGCCCGACTCCACAATCTTTTGGAATCGTGCTTACAGCCAGTATCTCAGTACATGGACCCGCGCCTATAATCGTTTCAAGTAAGTTGGTTACCTCTTCAGGTAGTTGGTCCTTGTGTATCGATATTAATATAAAGACCACAGGCAGGACTTGTCGTCTGTTCCAATTGTTGGGCCCTCCATTTCTGTGCCAGCAAGCACAAGCAATGGGTTCTGGACTGCATGGCTGGATAACGCCAAGTCTACAAACACCATTCCCGACTTTTACACTTATCACGTGCTGGGACTCGATTTTGACGTTCGTGGCTC